TTGATTAAAACATTTGCGCACTTTAAATAAATATAGAGACAGAAGGAATAGCAGTAAGTGTACGACGGCGTTAAGAAGCATATAAGTTATAACGCTTTACTTAGTTAATACTAGGGGAGAAAATGATTTGATTGATTTGATTTGATTCAAGAACCGACATCACAGCACTCGGGGCATTCCCTTAGGCGCTCAGTCCCCATCTTTAGCAGCCAGCGAAGAGTTCCGATGTTAATGATGCCAGTAGCATTCTGATTAAACGTCCGTCTTGCATTTCTTCTGAGTCTCGAGTGTCACATATCACTCCTGTCGCGTGCCTAATGTAAGGATTCCTCCTTCAGAACCAACAGCACTCAGAGATAATTATGTTGAGTCGTTTGGCTCGTATTGGTCTAAGGGATTCCCCGTGGCCAATATACGATCATCTCTGAAGTAGGGCAACTCAAGTATTGGCACTACAAAATATGTCAGTATATATATATATAATATTTCTAGGCACACTTGGCTGGACACCCCCACTACTTACTAAAGAAAGCCCCCAGGTTATGATAGTTCATTATCATAACCATGTTAACACATATAATGAAGATACACATACATACACAACTGCTAAACACTTAAAAAGGTGAAATAGAGACACCTAAGTCAGCCATGAAAATGAATGTATGTAATCAATATAAATTAGATATATAAAAGTGAGACAAATGCCAGATCTCAGGATATCATGTCCAAATCACAAAGATACTACACAGACAGAAGGTCTTGGAGATGACATCTTCTCATCACTGGACACAAGGAGCTGTGAGGAACACAACATCATGTGAAGCATCAGACTTATCTTCTCTTCTCTCTGTCTATGATGCCTCCCTCAGCTCCGGATGATTCGACTGTCTTTGACTCTGGGAATTCTGCTCCACTGGATCAAGTAGTAAGAGTACTTCACTATATAGGACACAGCAACTGTACCGGTATTTAGCAAGTCTCTATCACCAGTAAGGACACACAATGTCTTTGAGCCACATTAAGCTCTAGCACTGGTAGCTGTTTGAGGTACCATCTCCCATATGTTGGAGATGTCAGGAACCTTCACAGGTGTTAGCTGGTGGGTAACAAGTTGTTTCTGGTGGTTTGATGGTTGGTGGATGTTGGTTTGACTGTGAATCTTCTGCCAGCTCTTCAGAAAAGATACATCCTGTCAAGAAAATAACTCAACATTAGTCATCACCAAGAGGGTAACATCTTGACAGGAAAGACAGAGCAAGCATCAGTCATCAACCCCCATCTGCTAACTCCTCCCTGCTCTCCTGTTTCATTCCTCAGATTGCCTCTCCAGACCAAAAGACATAAGTCTCCTATATTTATCTGTCTGTTTAGTGCAAGAGAAGGCAAGTCAGATATACAGTGGAGATAGATAAAGTGGTCTAACACATATATCACTCTCCCTCTCCCCCTCACTCTGCACACAGACACCAATATTTACTGTCAGTACCTGCATTCACTAGCTTTCCCAACCGCCCCAGCACTCATTGATATGGGTCAAGCACACACATACTTTGATTAACAAAGCCCTGACCCAATTCTGTCCCCATTTCGTATGTACAGATTCTTTAATTAGTTTAAAACGTACACAATTGTAAGGGTATTAAATTTTATCAGTAAGGGTGGTTTATTGAGGGCATAAGCTATTTAGTCTGTACAGTGGAAGATCTACGTTCGAATCCGCTACTCTTGCGATCAAGAACGGTCGAACTAAGTGAGATAACACAGCCGATACTGATTTCTCTACAGCAGTGACTACTTTACAGACATCATTCTAGGTACTCGTAAACTATAATTAACTTACCCAAGCATATGTAAAAACAGAGACATTCCAGATTGCCTTGAAAAGTGAAATTTATACAGGCACAGAGTAACACATCTGGACGCTTGAGAAGCTGGCAAGGAGAATAGCGTCACTTAGACACTTCAGGCGTCGGTACAAAAGAAGTTCCTTGTATACTGGGGCAAGGAGTAAATCGGTTTCCAAGAAACCTCAAATAACTCCCTAAATAAATCTCCAGGAGATATTCATTTAAAAGTGGAGTTTAGTTAAAGTAACCAGAAAAGGCAGACATAATAATGTTGTCCAATACAGGCCTATATATATAGATATAAGGGACTATATATTTCTGGGCGAGTCCAAGTTTGAATTTTGTGCAGATTACAGGTAAGACAGGTTATCAGCCTTACAGACCGATGCGTAATGGCTATCATTTCACGACATCGAGCATCTGCCAGAACCTCTCGTCATTCCCCGCTGCATCAATCTCACCAGACTGTGGTGATCCATCTGCTCCTCCGAACTGTGCATGCCCTCCCACAAGGCACTAACCACGTCTGCCTTATCTTGTATCAGTATTCCACTAAGTTGTGCAGAGCCAGCCAGTCTGACCGCGTGTTCATTTCCCAACACACCGGCGTGACCCGGTGAAAAAAAATCCAGACAATACTCCTCACCCGTGTCCTCCGCAACGAAGCATGCCACTCTGCACGAAGCATACCTGTTCTGATCTTCCTCAGCATGCTTTCTGAATCAGTTGCAATCACGATGTGTGTGTGTGTGTGTGTGTGTGTCGTGTTCTCTAGCCAGTGGAAAGCTGCAGTGACCGCCTCCACCTCCATTCTTAAGCTGGATGTTGTGGTATCATATGCTAGGCTCTCCTGCACCACACATCGACCATTAACTTTTGCTAAGAAGCCCCAAGCACTTCTTTTGCCTCTTGACACTAGGGGATAAAACACTACATTTAGCCAGTCGTTGCTACACCAAACGGCCGTCCCAGACTTTACATCGGTTTAGTAGAAAATATCAGAATATTGTGAATTCAGGTGAGAGTTATAATGGTAGGGAGTAGCTGAGACCCCCCCCCCCCAAAAAAAAAAAAACCTGGCTAAATATTTTATCGGGATCCTACCATTCTTTGATTCTTTATATAAATATTCCGTGACTTCATTAACCTTCATACTTGTCCGTTGGACAACAGTAACTACTTACAAGTTCTTACATATATACTTCCCGTCCTTTTTAGAATTAAATGTTTCGTTATTTGAAGCTCTACTCTGGCTTTGCCAGGGGCCGCAATATAGCCTGGCCATAAATATGGCCTGAAGGCTGAACGAGGTTTCTGGGACCTCTCCACGGTAATCCTCACCCACCTAGTGGCACATTGTGTCATCGGGTGTTTATCGCTTGTGTGATGTCAGTACGTCAGTCAGTTCTTACAAATTAGGAGGTTCGTTATGTTACTATTCAAGGTTAAGACTATTGATTAGCGAACCCTCTATCATCCTGTCATCTTTTCTGAGAATACTCATTTGGTATCCTTGCATAATGCGCCTACACCATACACCATCATCCTGTGCCATGCAGTATCATCATTTGTATCTACCTTATATTGCTTTTATTTATTTTGTTATGAAACATAAAAATTAAGTAAAAGGGAAGGACCTTTGTCACGCCGTCAGTTGTATGGGCATATGCGGTTGGACATGGGTTTTATAGACCACTATGCACCTGTGCGTTGATGTGGTAAACATCACACCAGCTGCCTTTACTTCCCAAGACTATACCTGGTATCCATTAAAGGCGAAGTCGACCTGGGTCTGTCCGGACTCGAACTCCCGACTGTCCAATCCGCATTCGAGCGGTTTTTTTTTCACTACATCATGTCGAGTTTCATATGATAGTGCAAAGAACTGTGTTTGTATACAACAATATTAGAAAATGTTAGGGAGGTTAATTACTGATGTTATTTATGCTCATGGAGAAAGACAGTGTATGTAATACCTTGCTCTTTTCCCGAACTACTCCGCTAACACCACAAACACCGCAACAATTCTACCCGCCACAGAACTGACAGCATAATCCTCTTCCCAAGGACAATTGATGTATTTTCCAGGTTCCCTATAACCACTCTAGATCACCAACACTGCTGAACGAAGAGCACTGAGACTGAGAATTTAACTAAACAGACAACAAATTGAGGAAAGCCAGGGGCTACTGAGGTTGCCACTAATATATTTAGAAAATCAGCTGACCATGTACAGATTTATTCACGAACTGAATATTCGCCAAGTAATGCGGTAATCCACCCGAACAAACTTAAAGCTGAGTGACGTTTGTGATTGATTTTGATTGCTTCAGTGTTAATTGATGTTTATTGAATTGTTGATTAATTGAATGGGGTATTTCTGATGGGGCTGTGTCAATAAATATGTTTATTTAGTATAACCCAGCTATTGGATTAAGTAAATTAGTTTCTCTCTGAATTACTTGTAGATATAGTGTTACTCTTTGATTCATTCGTGTTCAATTATGAACGTATCGAACGTTGAGAATTCACAGGTTTGTTTAGAAGAATAGATATTTATTCAGTCATTTTCTGGGGATTCACTCTATTCGATTAACTATCCGAGTTGTCAGATTGTATTGAAATTCCTTCCTTTCTTGGAACTCAGGAACCAATAAATGTACCCTAGACAATTTTATTTCGAGCCCTGTCAATCATTACCTTAGGAGGGATTATAGAGGCGATAATACATTCCACAACAACGCTTAAGACTGTCTATAACAGTGGTTCTCAAACTTCATAATGCCGCGACCCTTTAATACAGTTCCTCATGTTGTGGTGACCCCCCCCCCCCCCCTAAACAAGAGATTATTTTCGTTGCTACTTCATAACTTCGACGGATATGTGTTTTCCGATGGTCTTCGGCGACCCCTTTTGAAAGGGTCATTTGACCCCCAAAGTTGTCGTGGCCCCCAAAGTGGTCGTGACCCACAATTTGAGAGCCGCTGGTCTATAATATAAAGGTGTATATTTATATATGCTCAATACATCTGAAAAGCAGTTTTAGTTGAGGACAGGAAACATGAAAAAATATGTTAAAAATAACATAATATGTGAAGACAGTAAAGACAGTAAAAGTTCAGAAGAACTAACACTTGGGCGGACACCACTCACTTTCCGTGTAATGCTGCCACTCCTACAGTGCTGCGAGCCGTGGACATTGGAGCCACATAACTCCACTGCCTGGCCTGTGGATCCCACCTCTCGACAGTATTGAGGTACGACCAGCCGTCATGGCCGCCCACTGCATACATGGGTCCCTCCAGAACTCCAACACCTAAGAGAATGTGTATGTTTCTGTAAGTGGTTTGTCGTTTGATAAGTGAATAACACGTGTATCCTTCTTGATAAATATCAATACTTTTATTAATGGCCTTTATACATTGTCGGGCCTCTGTGGCGTAAGAGTTGCGAACACGCTTCGTAATTCCGGGGTACATAGTCTGATTCCAGGTGCGGATGATTTGACAGCAGACTGCTTTCCCTTGATTTCAACATAAGTATCGAGAGCCGACCGAGCTCTCTGATGTGAGATCAAAAGAGCGTCCAAGAAAAAGATGCGTTAATGACACTAAATACATAAATCCCCCTGAAGTAACTGTGTTCGGTGCCTTCTATAGAGCACAAGATCACACACAGATCCCATGACCCTTAACTGTAAAAGTTTTTAAAAAAAAACTGGTCCTCTCCATTACAATCAACGGCGAAAGTGAATAATATGTTTAACAACTAATCCTTCCCATTTCTCAACGGCAGAGGTGAATAATATGTTTAACAACTGATCCTTCCCATTTCTCAACGGCAGAAGTGAATAATATGTTTAACAACTGATCCTTCCCATTTCTCAACGGCAGAAGTCAATAATATATTTAACAACTGATCCTTCACATTTTTCAACGGCAGAAGTGAATAATATGTTTAACAACTGATCCTTCCCATTTCTCAACGGCAGAAGTGAATAATATATTTAACAACTGATCCTTCACATTTCTCAAAGGCAGAAGTGAATAATATGTTTAACAACTGATCCTTCACATTTCTCAACGGCAGCACTGAATAATATGTTTTACAACTGATCCTTCCAATTTCACAATGGCAGAAGTGAATAATATGTTTAACAACTGATCCTTCACATTTCTCAACGACAGAAGTGAATAATATGTTTAACAACTGATCCTTCACATTTCTCAACTGCAGAAGTGAATAATATGTTTAACAACTGATCCTTCACATTTCTCAACGGCAGAAGTGAGCAATATGTTTAACAGCTGATCCTTCCCATTACTCAGCAGCAGCAGTGAATAATATGTTTAACAACCAATCCTTACCATTATACTTCACGGCAGAAGTGAATCCTATGTTTAACAACTAATCCTCCCCATTACACTCTACGGCAGAAGTGAATAATATGTTCAACAACTGATCCTACCCATGACACTTCACGACAGAAGTGAATAAAATGTTTGACAACTGATCTTTACAACTGATCTTTCCTATGACATTTCTTGACAGAAGTGAATAATATGTTTAACAACTGATCTTTTCTATTACACACTTCACAGCAGAAGGCAATCACTCGTTTGACAACTGATCCTTCCCATGACACTCTATGACAGAAGTAAATAACATGTTTAAGATAATGTATATATTTCAGTTTAAGTATAAACTATCTCATCTTGGCTTTGCTCAAGGCACAAAAGATGGCGGCCGCAAAAACATCCTAACAGAGCCTCAGTCACGTTTCACTTCCGGCGACCTAATTTGTGGTTTCCCGGCGACTACCGCCACCGCTGAGAGTCCCCCACGCCGCTCAAGCGGCGTCGATTGGGGCTAAACTAGATGGCTAGGACTCACGAGCAGCAGTTTCCGCATCTTCTGCAGCTTTGCTCGTGAGACCTAGCCATCTAGTTTAGCCCCAATTAAGCGGCGTGGGGTGACACGTGGCGGTAGCGGTAGTCACCCGAAAACCGCAAATGAAGTCGCCGGAAGTGCGCAATTGACACGTGAATGAGGCCCTGTTTTTGGCCGCCATTAGCCACCATCTTCTGTGCCCGTTATTGGCAGGATAGCCGTCATCTTCAAAATAGAAGCTGGCAACAGTGTAGCTACTGTTGGCCAGGTAAACAGTACAAGGCGAGACGCCAAACTGTTTTAAACAACCTGCACAATTAAAGGGATTATGGTATCGCTGATATTTATGCAACTAGATGATGATAATGACGATGATGATGATGACGATGATGATAATGAAACTGGAGTGTGCTATTGATAGGAAAGAAATTCTCTGCCTACAACCTGAACAATTAAATAGATTATGTCGTCACTGATATTTACACAACTAGAGGAGGTGATGATAATGATTGTAATCATCGTGTTCATGATGCCAGTGATGATAATGCTTATGAAACTCAAGAGTGCTACTGGTAGGAAAAAAAAATTATCTCCTGACAATGGGTCTTTGTCTTGAGAGGGAAGATTTTTTTTAAAAAACTGTAATTTAAATTTTAAACATTCACAATCCAAGCTGGCCAACTGCTGGCGGGTGATGGTCTTTATGGCTTAGCTCCTGGGCCTACCAAAGACGGAAATTCAAAATTGAAATCAGAAAAATTAGACTATGTCGCTCTGTAGAACGGCTGTTCTTGCAACCAGACTGTCATGAATTGCCTCTGTTGGAATAGTACCTAAATAAGTTAGTTATATATCCTTTACATGAGGTTGCAAAGGATTCTTTGCAAAGTTATTATCGGCAATGTTTGTAGAAAATCAATAGTCACATTTCTGTTTATGTGCTTGATGTTCTCTCTGGTTTAAAAATCTATCTTTTTTTCCCACTCTGCAATCACAGACAGCTTCCATCATTCTTGATCTTCAGTGGTTTTGTTACAGAGCTCAAATGCAGAAAGCTTTCACCTGTAATTATATTTCAAGTAAACGAAATCCCACAAGAGAGACTGCCTAACCTGAAAAGTCTGTCTACACACAGCAGGTCACTGTATAAGTGGATGATTATCTCCCTTCCCCACAATCTTGTTTCACCATGCAAAGGCAGGGTGCTTGCAAAGTCTCAGTATACTTTCAGGCAGATTTTTGTTGTTGAAAATGATGCACATTATGTATTAAAATAAAATGTGCTCCACAGTCAACCGTGAAGCAATTTGCAGTGAATGACTGTCTTCTGGTGGAGCAGTTTCCTGCATTCAAAACAGAATGGTGAAAAAAAAATGTCTAGATGTCAAAGACAGAATCCTGTAAAGTTCTTAAAGAAAGTGTATAGTCATGTCTTGAAGTTTGTGGTGGACATGTCCAAAAAGGATACAAGGAAATTTCGCTGGTACTTTCTAGATTCTCCAAAACGGCGTCAGACCAAAGCAATAACTATTGTAACTAATTTAAATACAGTTAAAGCATTTTTTATGACGTAACATACTCCCTTTTTCAGATTTGTTGTGCAAACAAAGTGTAGTGAAACTTTACAAATACCCTGTATTTCAAAGTCTCATTTAACAGGAAAATACCTAAAATGTGCCTGGAAAGCAAACATAGATAATGTAATTTGCTTTTAACATCCAACATGTTGAATATTTTGGGCTGGCAGACAAGTGCAAGCCATGTGAAGAAAACAAGAAAGAACACACGAAAGAAAGAACAAGAAAACACAAAAGAAAAAAGAACTAAATAAAAAGACAGAAAAAAAGACAAAAATAAAAGAAGGAAACAAGATGGAAGAAGAAAAGAAGATGAAGAACGAGAAAAAGAAGTGAAGAAAATAATAATAATAATAATAATAATAATAATAATAATAATAATAATAATAATAATAATAATAATAATAAAACAATACCAAAGAAACAAGTAAATTGAATAAACCAACTGCTAAGCGTACCTAGGCCATGTCTATGAGTTGACATTGGCGGCATTAATGCCCATGTTTTTCTTTTGGGATCATAACACTCCACAGTATTCAAGGTCTTCAGACCATCTCTGCCTCCGACCACAAAGAGTTTATCATCCAATACTGCCACTCCAAATTGGAGTCTTCGGCCTGACATATTTGCCACCTGTGTCCAAGTGTTTGTTCGGAGGTCATATTTCTCTATACTTGTTGGACCTGGGGGAAAAAAAAGAGAGTAGGATGGTTATAAAGAAATAACATAAGACAATTAGTAACATTGTGCATGCGAACATCAATTTAGAATATAGAAGCTGACATCCTACGCATAGAGTGGCTTGAATTGCTTGATAAGACCCAAGTCTGGAGCGTTTCATATGGATTTTCTGTACAGGTTATTCGGGTGTGCCGAGTTATGAACAGTCATACGAGTCGACTGATTAGGGATGTTTTCTTCGAAGTCAAATTGGATCTGCCTGAGAGGCAGTCTGCATACAAAGAAATCAGATGTGTAAAACAGATATGCACGTCAGACTTAGGTTTTAGAACAAGACTAAAGTCCTCAAGTTGATGAACAACCACAACTTACCCCAGGAGTGTCATCACTTCCTTTTCATCACTTCCTTCTCATCACTTCCATCTCATCACTTCCTTCTCATCATTCCCACTCATCACTTCCTTCTCATCACTTCCTTCTCATCACTTCTCTCTCATCACTTGGCCGAAAAAGACAGACTTTCTGCATCTAATGTCTCTAATGATTCTTTCAGCTGTCTAAAAAAAGGACTGCTTTGTTCGTTTTTCTCTCATTCCATGATTGTATTCTTCCGGAAAAAACAACATCTGCATTAGGAGTAAATACAACACTGTTGTTGAAATCAAAGCAAAAGTTACTCGTTATCAAATCACCTGCAGTTGATCTCAAACCCTGGTATGCCAGGTTTATGAAACTACATTAACAACTCTAATCCTAGTGGTAATGAGTATACCAATATAATATGTACAGTACTGCATCAACAAATTTACAAAGGAAACAATAATTAATCAAAACAGTGTAGTCGCCTTTTCCATGCAGAAAATTGTGCGAAGAAAATTCAAAGAAGTTTTGCATGTTAGAGATTCCTGAATAGTTTATGCCAGTTGTACGTCAGGTTACTTGGGTGGCAACTAAATTTGGTTAACTTACTTTCTGTAGTCGTATTTTTCTACCTAGGGTGTCGTAAAAGAAAATTATGAATATGCACTACACATAAACTCTAAACGAATCCTGTAAATCATGACTGGATTAACCAAAGAAAAATAAGCACACACTTAGGGCATCAAGGGAAGAGGGCCTCAGGGAACGAGGGCATCAATGGAAGAGGTCATCAATGGAAGAAGACACAAAAAGAAGAGGGCATCAATGGAAGATGGCTTGAAAGAAATAGGGCATCAATGGAAGAGAGCATCAAAGGAAGAGGGCATTAAAAAAGGGTGGCATCAAAGAAAGAGAGCATGAAATAAAGAGGGCATCAATGGAAGAGGGCATCAATGGAAGAGGACATCAATGAAAGAGGGCATCGATGGAAGAGGGCATCAATGGAAGAGGGCATAACAGAAAGAAGGCATCAAAGAAAAAGGGCATCAAGGAAAGAGGGCAACAATGGAAGATTGCATCAAAAGAAAGAAGGCATCAACGGAAAAGGGCATCAAGGGAAGAGGGCAACAAGGGAAGAGTGCATCCAGGGAAGAGGGCGTCAAGGGAAGAGGACACCGCAAAAGGATCATCAATTACTTAACTGAGAGTTCATTTTCTCAGCTGAAATATAAAGTAAATCTCACCACAACAACTGTGCAACTAGGCAGACTGGATGCCTCATCTCTTTTACGTATAGAAACATATGAGCATAAGATTAGTTTTAGACCTGATCTGCAGGCCGAGCCGAATGTCTGAGAAGAAAACAGACTGAATGCTCGCCAAATCCCATGCTCTTAATTGAAGAATCTGTTTCTCAACGCGGGCGGGCCCCGCTGGCCGCACTCGCTATCGTCAAGAGCTGTGGTTCACATGCCGTTCCGCTGCTTTGCTTAAAAACAAAAATCGTAACGTTCAACCAGCATCCTTGAAAGGGAAGCTTGAGGTTATAATTGTGACTAGGTTATTTACGCCATACAAAATGGCTCTTAGCATTGTACGTCATCAAGAGTCCTGACAAGGATTCCTGCAGTGTTGATGCGATCAAAGAAGACAATCCCAAATATTGTCCTGACCGGCGACGAAGTCGTTTACCGGCCAGCCAACAGGAGACCATGTCCCTATGCCTCCATATAGCTCATTATAACACTACCGCCTTGAAAGACAGAAATGCGCCAACATTGCATGGCTTGTGGGAAGTACTTAGTCATCTTGAATATTTTCTAGGGGAAATTCATTCTCAGCTTTCTAAATCAAGACCGGATTCAGACTTGATCAGGCCCTCAGCTATATAAAGCTCTGAAGCCCCTACTGTTTCAAATTACACCAGCTAATCTGAGAAAACTGTAAAATATATATGCCTTTTAAATTTATGGATGCTGAGAAAATAATGTCGTTGACGTTTTATTTAAAGTAATAATTAAACAAATGTCTTTGCAAAATCACACAAATTATATGATCCTCATGAACGCTCAGATAAAAGAAAATCGCATTTGTGGACACAACAAATAGGAATTTTTTGAGGCTACTGCAGATTATGAGACCTTATGCTGTAGATTGGTTAGTAAAGTAATTAAAGATCCATTTTTACGCTTTCAGGCGCATGGGGCATGTGGGAAGAGCACCTATATTTTTACAGTCCAATCGGCACTAGGTGGGTAATGTGGTCAGCATTACGCCGGCCGTCTTTACTTTCCCAGGACCCACATCCTGGTACCCATTTTAGGCTGGGTAGACCAGCGACGCCCCATGCCATGATAAAAATCCACGCAGCCAGCAATAAGTTTCGATCGCGGTACGTTGGAATTAGAGTCGGCCTCGAAACGCCTAAGCCACGGACGCCGCTGTAGGTTAGTTAGCTTTTGCCTAAATCCAGCACTACCCTAATTATTATGGAAAATTGGTGGGGGTTGGGGGGTATGTGTTGGGGCGCAGGGTATCTGAGCTCCCTGGTTTCGACGTCCCTGGTCCGATCTGCTTATTAATTACAAACTAATAGTTGACACATGCGGGAAGAAGCCTAGACTGAGCAGATATCATCAACGCTGTACAGACTGGGCTAGTGGATAATGACGAATCTCTGACACTAACACAATTACGTGACATGGAAGTAAAGCACCGTGAAGCACGTTTATGCCGCATTTGAGTCTGAGATAGGAGACATTATCACCAACCTCTCATGGGCCAATTAGTAGAAATAACTTGGAGTGGTTGCTGCATCTGAGGACTGAGCACCCATGGGAATGCCCAATGTGCAGTGATGTAGACTGTGAGAAAATAACATAACAAAACAAAAGTTGACAATTAGCAGCAGATGCAAATGGAGTCGAACATAAACCAACCTTTTGTGCATTCCATGCTGCCAACTGCGTATAACACACCCACTGTCGATTTCCTGGGCTTTGTGCGCGGAGACTGGAATGATGAACGTCGTTCTGGTAACAAATGGTACTTTAGGGCTTCCATAATTAGCTGTTGACATTCTTTGTCGTCATGGAATAGCGAGTTGGTCTCCACGTGATCAGCAATAAACTGAATGAACGAAATTTAAAGTCAAGGTCAAGACCATTTTAACATTTTCGTTGCTTTGCTAAAAAAAAAAAGGCGTCCAGTTCAACAATCATCGCCGAAAAAGAAGCTTTAGGTTATTATTGTGACTAGGTTCTGTGCGTCATATAAAATGGCTTAGTGCCATCAAGAGCCTCCTGCATATTACTATTTCAAGTCGTCCCCTTGTAGAATGCAATTTTTTTTTATTTGAAACCCCACCCTGGCTTCTGCCGGGGGTCGTGAAAATAGCCGGGGCATAGATATGACCTAATGGCTGAAAGGGGTTTCTGGTACCTCTCCACGGGTGATCCTTATCTGCATTGTAGCACTTTGTGTCACCGGGTGTTTATCGCTTGTATGATGTCCTGGTGGAGTAAACACCAACCAACCAACCAAGAGCCCTGAAAAGGACTCCTGTAGTGTTGATGCGATCAGAGGCGACAGGTCACCGATGGACCATTTTCACACCGGAGACGCATTCGGGCATATGGCTGATATTGTAAGTGTGAAGAAAGAAAGAAAAATAAATGTTGACTACGTTCAAGACAGCTGAGAACAGCTTCAGTAATAATTGTAATCTGTTTTTTTCCCCCCTCTTAGTTTAGAGTGACCATAATATTTTCAGTGGAAAACAGAACATCCTAAGCCAGCCAGTTACCCTACACCCCCCCCCCCCCACAGCATTTTTAAAAGCATAATTACAATTATCATTATTATTATTATTATTATTAGCAAATCATTAAGAAATGGCAGCTTTGTCACTCCTGGCGGTCAAGTCCTGTATCACTATATCAGTAGATTTTTTTTTAAAAGTATCCAGAAACCAAGAGTTGTAAACTCTTTGGCTCGGTACTATGGATATCGCAACCCTTCGGCCTTGATTCCATTATAGGTACCGTTAATCTGGGAGAAAATGTTGCTTTTCTGCCTACCCAGGGAGTGAACCCGGACCACAAGGAGTTCGTCACCCGGCCGCCAAAAGTTTAACCAACTACGCTAGAGAGCCGGGCATATCAGTAGATAAGTTGCCTAACTGCTACACCACTATGTGCTAGGAAAGTGTGAAGGATTCTGGAGTGAAGAGGATCGAGTGAGACTACTACTAGCCTCTACCCGTAGACTGGCTTCTAAGAGCGAAACGCAACGCATGGAATAACAAAACTGCATTTGTCAAGGCTCACAATTTGGGTGCAAATGCCCGTCTTATATTCGGTCCTTCCAGACACTACTCTTCCCCACATCAACTGTATCTTTATCATGTTATACTCATTTAGCAAAATACATCATATGAGAGTAGGGTTAAACACACACACAAAATAACTCTGTCAGTAAGCTCATCGACGAACCATCATGAATCAAAGAAAAATACTGCACGTGTAAATCTCACGAAGTACCATAAAATGAAGCCAACCCACATCCCCTCAGAAGCCAATGAAACTGACCATATCACTACACCATAATGACTCTCAATGAATCGTGAGCAACAGAGACAAATCAAACCCTTAAATAAATGTCACAGAATAAAAGAATGTCCAGAGACTCTTTAATTTCTGCAACATCAATATTAGAACAGCCGCAATGAATCGAGTTCCTCTGCAGTAGTTGTAAAGAATAAAATTATATAGTCAACATGAACTTTTCAAATGCTTTCTCCATTGTAAACAATTAATTAAAATATCCCCAGGCATGGCATTGAATACGCCATGGAACCCCCAAAGGGAAGAGTGAACTAGAAATGGATCAATGTCTAATTCATCTCACTAACAACTTTTGTGGAGTCATGGAAAAGCTTTCAGTTGGATCAAAACAGTAAAAACACTAGGGGGAGAGAGAGAGAGAGAGAGAGAGAGAGAGAGAGAGAGAGAGAGAGAGAGAGAGAGAGAGAGAGAGAGAGAAAACTGATACTCCCGCTAATGGAAGCAGCGTTGTTGAGCTTCTTTTAATGGATGCAATAAAAAAAAATAAAAAAGCAGAGGAAATACAGATTAAATTGATATGCAGCTTCAAGACATTGAAAAAAAAAAAATGTGAAAACAGCAACAAAAAGTGCATATTCAAGGCAGAAGCATTGCAATGAAATTTTGATGAAGAGTGATGGGCGATGCATTATCAAGTTCATAATGAATTCTGATGATGGGAAAATCAATGCCAGGTTTAAAAAAACAACTCCATTAAATATCAGCTACGTTTTCCTGCTTAAAATTAAAAAAAATACACGTGCGGTTTACATAGAAAATATTATGTTTAGTTTAAAAAAAATGTAACTGGATTGTTCAAACGGATAACTGAATTGTTTTAAAGTATAAGTGCGGCAGGAAGAATTAATGAATAAACATTTAAAACATTGTATGTAATGAAATGAGCAGGCAGATAGACTGGCCGGTTCTGCAACACTTGGTGGTGAATTGATGTATGACAAGCTAGATGTTGTGAGGGCCCTATGGCAGCGAGTGAACAGTGCGGAGGAACAAATCGATCATTACGGTCTGAGGAGAATGGCGCTGCGGGTGGTTACTCCTCACTCAATGAAACGGGGAGACGGATATACAATCAGAGAGTTACTGGTGCGATCAGAATTAGAACTCTTTGCTTGCTGCTGAAGATGGGGACGGAGCTCTTATGCTCCCGAGTGCTGTGATGTAGATTCCTTTTTCAACACTCAATATTTAACATTCAAAACATACAATGCAAACAGTGATTAACAAAGACACTTAGATAACAAATGAATTATAGGAGCTAATTCTGTATCAACGAAAAAACCACAGCAACACAGAGGAAAACAAAAGTATTAGTACAACAGAAAAACGGAAACGTTTTTTAACTGTGGAACTTATTAATGAGAGAGAGACATGGCCCAACGAAGAAAAAAGGATGTGCGTTTGTACCTCTTTTTTTCCTCGCAAGAAAACCAGTATAAACAGCTCAATGAGTTTCAAGAAAAGACAGACTACGAAATCATGAAATCAGACGAATGCTAGGAATAAAGCCAATCCTACAGGTCACCAAAGAATAACAAATAAAGTGGTTTGCACACCTAACAAGAATGCCCTGGTACTATCTGTCACAGCAAGCCACACTAAAACGTTACAACGTGTATAGAGCGAGTGGATAACCTCGCAAAATATGGAGTGATAGCATTAAGAACAGCCTTTCAGAAATGAATATCAGTCTTAATAGTGCTCCTGACAGAGCTCATCAACGAACATTGCATCTCCCCCCGACACTTTGATGAGGTACAAGGTGGAAGAGAAGAAGAAGAAAGAAGAATGGTTGAGTAACGCATTGTGAAGCAATACATCTCTTCAGGAATGGAACAATAAATTGTAGTGAATTGTAAAATAGTACTGATCGATAATAAATCGTGAATTCTTTTTCTTCTTCTTCCGCCTTTCTATCCCCCAATGGAGCATAGTCCCTCAACAAACTTAGGCCAAGTCGTTCTATCCTTCACCACTACATTGAGCTCTCCCATGTCCTCCATATTCTTCTAACTTCATTCTCCAGCTCTCTTCTCCATGTGTTCTTTGGAATTCCTTTATTCCTATGCCCCTGTGGGTTCCAATGCAAAGACATTCTAGTTATGCTGTTCTCCTGTTTTTTTTAGTGTGTGTCCTATCCAACGCCAGCGTCTTTTCCTTACCTCTTGATCCACTGGAGCCTGTTTAGTTCTCTCCCTAAGTTCTACATTAGTTATTCTATCATACTATTGAATTCCCTCTATTCTGCGCAGGCACCAGTTAATGAATGTCTGTAATTCATTAGTAATTGTCTTAGTTGTTCTCCATGTTTCCGCCACATACAATAGTACTGATTTGACATTAGAATAAAAAAATTTTAGTATTTCTTTTAATTTCTTTAATGGTGAATTAATGTATTAGTAATCATGTAATCCTTCAACACTCTTACAGAAAGAAAAGAAAAACGACAACAAAAATACAGAAGAATAGTGGCAGACTTTTAAAACCAGCATCCTGAATACATTGGAAGAGAACTGCAGCCGCAGAAAGCTGGGCTCTAATAGACAACATGCAGTATTGTCTGGTCTGGTAGTGTGGTAGTCTTAGTTTCAGCTTCATATCAAACGGGTCACCCCATCTTTGCTCCGCTCCTGTACCAACGAAAAACACACAGAATGTTTATCACAGTCCCTTGTAGTAAAATTGACAGACTGCTGTCTCAGCATATCTAACATACACTCGCACTAAAGCATACTGTAACCATTAGAAATGCAGTTTATCATTGATGGTAGCAGAAGTCACCAACAGATCAGCAGTTGCCCACGCGATCAATTTTGATCACATACGGGCACCACCAACATTGCACGACAGGCATCGCGTCATTTTCTGAATCTACAATTCACAGCACCACGCTGGTCACAGTTGAAAAAACATCCCAAATGAAATCCGCAGCTCACAGTATCACGCCATGGATTCAACTCAGAAGCTGGGCGACGAAACTATATCCAGTTTAGAAATGGAGCAAACATGCATCGGCCACCGTCCGGCAAAAGCAAAAAAAAAAAAATTGCCTCGGCTTCGAAAGCGCCAGTGCAATATTGTGGAATGGAGATATTAAAATTTCTTTTCCAGGGAAAGACAAAAATGTTTCTTTAAGTGGCAGAAGACAAAATCAAATGAAAACAACGTGAGCTATTGAAAAGCGAGAAGAGACACCAAAAGGAAAGTGAAAGCGGCAAAAAACAGAATCTTGGGCAGACAATAGAGAACAAGTGGCGAAACTTTGCATCCCTTGGCAGCTGGAAATAAAAAAGAGTAGCCTAACGCCACTGCCCGGGCAAAATTAGGAGTTAAAAATCTACCCAAAGTATTTTAGGATCTTCTCCGGTGCTACGGAGTTCGTGTACTGCGCTGAGATTCTTTGGACACAGGCTTGAGTTAGAAGTAGAACGGAGCAATTATGGGTTAGTACCCTTGTGCCATGATGTTGATCCATTACATTAACAAATAGTGCAATAATAAATTGTGTATCCCTTTAGATGTGGAATATTTCAGGGTAACCTATTGTATCATTTCAGATGTGGAGTATTTCAGGGTAACCTATTGTATCACTTCAGATGTGGAATATTTCAGGGTAACCTATTGTATCACTTCAGATGTGGAATATTTCAGGGTAACCTATTGTATCACTTCAGATGTGGAATATTTCAGGGTAACCTATTGTATCACTTCAGATGTGGAATATTTCAGGGTAACCTATTGTATCACTTCAGATGTGGAATATTTAACAGTTTTCTATTGTTTCACTTCAGTTGTGAAATAATTAAAAGTACACTAGTATACCGCTTCAGTGCTGAAACAATTAGCAGTTTCTTTCAAGTTTGTTGTGTAGGCCTTCCACAGAACGTTGCAGAACCAAATCCAGCATTTCTAGACTGTTTGGGATTTAACTAGGCAATGTTTGCAATTTTTGTTAACATGGAGAGTGAGAAGCAGCAACGAAATTCATAATCTGTTTAAATCACCACTGATCATTGGCATCATGAGAGCTAATAGGTTGAAATGGCTGGGGCAATACTGTATACACAAGGGAGATGAATGGTCGTAGACCTCGAGGTAGGCCAAAAAGACGATGGAGAGATAATTCTAGAGAGATCTGCAAACACTTGGTGTTACCAATTGGAAAGAGAAGGCCAATCAGAGAGATGAATGGAGGCGGGTGATATCTGCAGCAATGAATCTTTAGGGCTCGGAATGCTGAAGAAGAAAAAGAAGAATGTTTGCATTCAGTAGTTTGTCATTGTCGGCTCTGTGGCTAAGTCGATGCGAACGCGTAGTAATGAGGGGTGCTGGGTTAGATTCCAGCTGCGGGCCATGCGCCTTGCATTGGTTTCAACAGTGGCATCAGCAAGCCGACTGTCCAGAAAGCAATGGCAAACTACTGGACGTAAATTTGCCTAGAAAAACCACACAACAGCCAAGGCCTGCTGGGGCTGGTTCTGCAACGTTCTGTAAAGTATACGTAACTAACCTAGTCTGTCATTGCTTACTCAAGGGTTGGCTCCCAATATCTCTGTCCAATGACAGATGACAACATTCCTTTTTATAGCTGGAATAGTGATTAGTCTCCCTGTGGGTTGCATAGTTATTTTTTGAAAGGGGTGGGGAATGTTGGAAAAAAAGAGGGTGGAGGTGGTGACAGACCCACTGTCCCCTAACAGTCATATCGTGAAAGTCGACTAATTATGGAAGTACACCTGTCAGAGAGGGAAGGAACCAACAGTCTGCATTACAAATAAGGCAGATCAGTAAAACCTACGTGAACGCAAAACTTATATTTTGCAACAAGATCAAAGCCCAGAAATGAAGAAACAGTCAGAACTTTCCACCGGAGTTTACAGCCGGTGAACGCGAAGATGTAGAAGACTGAAGTAGTGTCCCACCTCACTGATGGAATAATGAACACTGAACCCGTGTACCACCTCAGTGATGGAATGATGAACATTGAACCCGTGTATCACCTCAGTGATGGAATGATGAACATTGAACCCGTGTACCACCTCAGTGATGGAATGATGAACATTGAACCCGTGTACCACCTCAGTGATGGAATAATGAACACTGAACTCGTGTACCACCTCAGTGATGGAATGATGAACACTGAACCCGTGTCCCACCTCACTGATTAAATGATGAACACAGAACTTGGCTTAGTGAACAATGAACCACAGTGACATCACAGTGCTGACAAACAGTCAATCTTTAGTGGTAAGAAGGACACTTCTGGAGCTTATATCACTAGATCTATATTTTATAGACCAGTTGGCACTCACTTTAGTGGCGGAATAATAATTTATAATCAGTAAATGGGCACACATTTTCAGTACCGAAATAAAAGTAAAAGTAAAGATCCCTTTTCACATATGGGAAGAGCACCCATATTTTTACAGACCAATCGGCACTAGGTGGGTAATGTGGTCAGCATTACGCCGGCCGTCTTTACTTCCCCAGGTCAGCCATCATGGTACCCATTTTAGGCTGGGTCGACCTGCGACGCCCCATACTATGTTAAAAATCTACGCAGTCAGCAGTGGGTTTCGATCACGGTACGTTGGAATTACGAATCAGACTCGCAAAGCCAAAGCCACGGACGCCGCTCAGTAACGTAATAATAAACTGTTAACTGGTGTAGCACACCAACGATATTATAACATGCACAATGAAATTGTCCGGTCCGTTCTTGGCGTCAAATAACAGTAACGGACACGCAAACATGAATCAAGAATTACCTGTGGTGCCATCAGTGGAAGTTTGATGTGCGACAGCAAGACTGCCAGAAACTTTCTCCTGTTACTGAGGTCATGCTTGGCCCACTTCAGAACAGCCTCGAATATAGATTCTTCATTAGGCACATTAAGGTCATCGCTGGCCAACAGCTTACAGACTTCATCCGAGGGCAACATGAGGAACTCTTGGTTTTGCATGACTTCAACAAACCGGTCCTGCAATTGATATCAGATAATAAAGAGCACAGGAGTCAAGGTGTCTGTCTGTCTATAGTCAATCGCCTGGCTGATCTTAGTGTTGTTGTTGTTGTTGTTGTTGTTTTTATACCGTCATATTGTCTGTAAAATCTAAATGCATAAAAAAAAGGGGGGGGGGGGACGGTAGACAATCTCTCGGTCCATGAAGGAAATGTAAAAAGTAAAAGAACTGACCATATGATAGCAGCCGACTAGACTTTGTGAAGGCTTAATTAACACTTCTTATCCATACGGCAATGTCTACCATGGGGTAGGTAGTTGTAGCCCACCAGGACATCACACAAGCGATAAACACCCGGTGACACAAAGTGCCACCATGCGTATGAGGATCACCCGTGGAGAGGTCATGTAAACCCCGTTCAGCCCTAATCCATATTTAAGGCCCTGCTATATTTAGGGCCCCCGGCAAAAGCCAGATTCGGCTTCAAAATAACTAAAAATTGCATCCAACAAAGAGATGACTATTGATCTATTTCAACCTTGAGACCACTATGGATTTTAATACATATGCTTTCAAAGCTTCACTTTCAGACAAACTGAATTGAGCTGAGTTTTCAAGAATCGACATCATAGCACTCTTTACATTCTCACAAGAGCACCTTCCATATCTTCAGCAGCCAGTGAAGTTTTTTGATTCCGTTGGTACCAGTGGCAATGTGAACGTATGTCCGTCTTGTCTTTCCTCTGAGTGTGGCGTGTCTACCAGATCTCCTGCTCATCCCCCCTTGCACCATTCCCTTTAGACCATAGGTTAGTTGTGTATCCTTTACAGGACGTCGCAGAACCAACCCCAGCAGCCCCTGGCTGTTGCGTGGTTTCTCTAGGCAAATTGACGTCCAGTAATTTACCAGTTCTTTCTGGAAGATCCGCCCCCTGATACCACCTTCGAAACCAACGCAAGACGCATGGCCCGCAGCTGGGATCGAACCCAGCACCCCGGCATTACGAAGCGTTCGCATCGACTTAGCCACAGAGCTGAATCTTTAGACCATAACATGAAATAATTATGACTCCGTAATGTTCACTCGCTCTCAAAGAAGCCTTGACAACATCTAGCTTTTCATACAGCAATTTACTACCAAGTGATGCAGATCTAGCCAGTCTGTCAGTCTGTTCGTTATCCAACACACCTACAACTCCCCCCCCCCCCCCCCCCCCCCCCCAAAAAAAAATGATCACCCAAAGGATGCAAACTACCCTGTTTCCACACTTAACCAGTTTAAAAAAGAAAGAAAAGGGGGGGGGGGGGAGATAAATAGTGGTGACTGAAGTGGCGATGATACTGCAACAGGAAGTACTAAATCCAATATGAAATAAATTTTAATAAGGCCACGTAGGGTATGGAAACAACAAGCACAAATACAATCGAACGTTTCTACCATAGTCTTTATCGACGGAATACTAAATACTACCGGGGCCGGACTTTTTTCAAAAATTAGCTTGGCTCCCAGGTCGATCCAGCCTTGAGTGGGTACCGGGAGCAGTCCCGGGAAAGTAAAGGCGGCCGGCGTGATGCTGACCACATCACCCATCTTGTGCCAACTTGTCTATAAAAATATAGGTATAGCCCTATATACCCTATACGCCTAAAGTCCTTTACTTTTTTACTTTTAATTACTAAATACAACACAAACTGTGTTGGTGTTGTCAGTTGAGATTTCTTGTGCTGCATTTAATAGTCATATTTAGTGTTGGATTTAACAACTTCTTATAAAAACAATAGTGAGCTTAACAGACATCAGCTGTACGAAAAAGCAATTAGAAAACAACATCTATTTTACATGAGAGAGAAATAGAGAACAATCAGTGACGGAAAACTCTCTCTCTCTCTGATAGAATTTCCCTTAGACAAATTTATTTCCGAGAACATTTTAAAAGCAATCAAAGAAGAGGACGGGTATCTAAAGAAAACAAAACATAAAAGGCATCGTGAAAAATAGATAGCTATCGATTTACAGGAATTGTTTGTCTTCCTTGCTCGTGTATTCAGGGATAATGACAGCCTCACGGATATATATTTTAGCTGATAATCATTTCTGACACGCAATTTTACAACAGTTCTCTTTTTTTCTTCTTTGTTTGCAACTGTAAGCTCCGGCGGAAAGTCCTGGTTGTTCGTCCATTGTGACTTTGGCTTTGTTGTGTCAGGACTTGAGTTTTGCTTGTACGTCTATTTTACTGACTTATTTGTGTGCAGTTGGTTGTTCCCAGCCGCGCAGGCAGATGCACTCCGACTTCGAAGGAAGCTACTAGTCAGTCAACTCTTACGATATGCTTGCTGGGGAGGCAGTGTATCTACTCTTGCCTCCCCCCCCCCTCTCCGACAATGGGGCCCCGAAACCCACGGGCGGTTCAGCGGTTCTAAAACAGTTTTATTTGCTAAGGACAATTTTGATCGAAATGTTGCTATCGTATTTGTGAGCGTTTTTTTTTAAAGTTGCCCTTCCAAATGCTGTAGTAATTTACTTATAGAGAAATCAATTTCATTGCCCTTATAGGTTCATAATAAAGAAATGAATGAATGAAAATGCATTATAACTGATAGACATCACAATTCTTCTTCTTTTATGCCTTTCTGCCCCCCAATGGAGCATAGCCTCTCAGTCAACCTACGCCAGTTCATTCTATCCTTCGCTATCGCAGGCAGCTCTCCCCATGTTCTCCACATTTGTTTGTATGTTCCGAGGAACATATTCTCCTCTGAATTTAGAATATTTTTCTTCTCGGGTCCATCTAGTTTCAAGTATTCCCAAAATACTAATTCTATAATGTTTCAGTTTCTTTAATACTTCCGTTGTTCTCCTACCTTGTATGAAGTTCTAACATTCCAGTTGCCAATTCCAGAGGTTTTCCTAGGTGAAAGAGGTAAGTCTGGAGGGCGATCTGGACTCCTTTTGGCTTTGTCCACACCGTATCATACTTCTTCTACTCAAAGAGCCTCCCCTCATCTTGGTTGGCTGGGTTTTTCTCGTTTCTCTTTTTGACTTTGCCATTGTTGGTTCGTTTTGTGGCTATTATTTTTACAGGATGCAGTAGCGAACCTCAAACCAAATCCTTCCCTTAATCGCCTCCTACGACATGCCTGGTAGCGTGCAGCGATACTATTCTTTGCCTTCCATGAGGGCTCCGGTGACACACGGGGGGATTGACATCATTGCACGATGAATATTCCTACAGGTACTTCATGCTTTAACCCAGCAGCCAACGAAGAATCTGCATACAAATGATGCAAGCTACAACCTAAGAGTAAGTCAGTGTTCTTCCCCCCACTCCCCCTTTGCACGTTAAATGTTGTTCAGACCCTGTGTTCGCTATAAGCAGAATCAATCTCATTAAGGGCGCACACCTATTCCTGTTCCGTCTGGATCCTATAGATCATTCATTACGTCTGTTTTAATAAAACGAACTCCACACGGAAGCATGCACAGCAGGGGTCAATCAATAATCAGTACATATCCTTTGTCGACGATTTTTTCGGCCCATTACTTCCTTAAACAATCCTGGAAAGGGGGACGACCTGAGTCATGAAGGCAGGCCTTGATCTTCCCCTGCTGCCCTACATCGGACTCGATAGGGACAAGATGATATGGTGACTTTGCAACAAGTATTGTGAGATTTTGTGTTATATTATTGCTGCGGTAGCAAATTAGATCAGTTGCCTACCTTCACGACCAGAGTGTCAACTTATGGTTGGTTCATCGGACAATTAGACTTTGGCAATTGGCAGAAAGACGCCGGTAGATCTAAATCAGACACTCTGGCTTTTGATGGATAAGAAAGCTTGTTTTAGCTAGGGACAGACCAGTCCAACGAGTCCCATCCCCCACGACAATCCGTTTACTATAAAGCAAATCACCGCCCAGACATTTGGCTGCAGCTAATCTATCAAACTACTTATTCTTCCCACACTCGAATATCTTAGGCAGAAAAATATAATTTGTTTCTAAATTGAGGCATATCACGGGATGTAAGAAGACTCTTTGCGAGTAAGACATCCACTAATTTTTTTTTTTTTGGACGAATTAATCTTCCGGTTCTAGTACTCTCCAGCTATCGGAAAGCAGTTGTTACATTCATAAACACTACCAAATATTTTACCCCACTCTGTTATCAAGTTATATTTGCTCATGAAAACCCTAACAATAAAGGTGACATGTTTTATGGACAGGAACGAAAATGAAAATAGTAAATTTTGACCATTTTGGTTTCCGTACAAAATTCACAATTATTGTATGTAGAAAAAAGCTATGTAAACAAGGTTTAAAATAGAATGCGTTTTTTTTTAAATCATTGTTGCTAAAGTCATGGGATGCAATTTTTTCGTTTTTTGAAGCCCCACTCTGGCTTTGGCCGGGGGCCCTGAATAAAGATGGGCCACAATTGTGGCCATAACAACTGAAAGGGGTTTCTGTGACCGCTAAACTGGTGATTCTCATCCGCATGGTGGCACTTTGTGTCACCGGGTGTTTATAACTTGTGTGATGTACTGATGGGGTACAACAAGTGAGTAAGACTGCGTTTTAGAGCTCTATTTCTGGATTCTTCAAAGCATGTGTAATATATCTTAAATTTCCATGCTCATTACACGGGAGCTGACGTGGACTAGCGGCTAGACGCTAGCCTGCGGATCGGAAGGTCGTGGTTTGGGTCCTAACAGGGGCTGGACTTTAAAAAAATGACCTTGGCTTCCAGGTCGACCCAGCCTTGAGTGGGTACCTGGTACAGTCCTAGGAAATAAAGGCGGCCGGCGTGATGCTGATTAATCACCCACCAAGGGCTGTTTGGTCTATAAAATACAGGACTAGCCCTATACACCCAATACGCCTGAAGGGCGTGGAAAAGGGTCCTTGACTTTATGCTTATTACGTACACAAACAATTTGAAAATTTTGTATATCGACTTGTAGCTGGCCGAGAGACTTCATTTAAGTTAGCTTGGCTTGCTTTGCGGGGCAAAAATCGTCACTTTCAACAAGTATCCCTGAAGTGAGAGATTTGGGTTACAATTGTGACTTGGTTATATGTGCCATATAAAATGGCTTAGAACTGCACGCCACCAAAAGCCCTGAAAAGAACTCCTGTAATGATGATGCAATCAAAGGAGACAGACCCAAATATTGTCCCGACCTACAATGTTGTCGTCTACCGGCGAGCGAATGGGCAACCCAGTTGCCGATGATTTCCTTAAAGTTGCAAATTGATTGTTCCGTTTCATTGGACCCGTACAATCTATTACATGGGACACAGCATAAAGGAACAATTTCATTGGTCCCTTTAATAAGGATATGCTTTATTAAACCAATCAGCGTACTCATTTCATAGACTACTTTCAAGGACGTTTTCTAAAAATAACGTATTCGCACTTGTACAGGTCAAGATAATTTCAAAACAATTGTGCCAAACTGAATTTTTTTTTTTTTTTAAAGAGGTGATGCTATTTAGCAGCTTCTGTTTAAAACATGCCAAATTTTAGAGTCCCACATTTGTGGTAAATATTTAACTTGAACTAAGATTTCAGAAACATTTGGAAAATTTCGGACATGAATATAAGAAAATGCTTGTCCAGATCTGGTTCAGGGCAAAAGTCTGGAATTTCCTACTGCCACCTTTCACACGCGTGGGGCATTCTTCTCTCCCTTCTTCCTCAATTCGTATAAGGTGTAAACATTCCAGGTGCCATATCTGGAGATCTTCCTAGGTAAAAGAAGGTTAAATCAACCGTCTGGACTCCCTTCGGCGGTGTCCGATATGCTTTATCATTTTTCTAGAAGGATTCCCTTTCTCTTGTACCCCCCCCCCCCCCCCTCCCCCCCCCCCCCCCCCCCCACCCCCCCCTCCCCCCCCCCCCCCCCCCCCCCCCCCCCCCCACCCCCCCCCCCCCCCCCCCCCCCCCCCCCCCACTCCATGACTTGTATGTTATTTCCCCACTTCCTCAGACTTGTTCGTAGCTAACAGATGATTTTGACTATAGTGTTTAATTGGAAAAGATGGCCACATCAAGCCTAACCGTAACCCTATTCGCCTCTTATGACGTGCTTTCTAGGGCGCGCTACTATTTTTTGTTTCCCATAATGGCGGTGGTAACACATGTGCGGTCATACAAGCTAAATTAGCAAGTAACCGCGTAGTGTTCCAAATACGCCCAAGAACATCTTTAAGGGATCTCTTAGATTCAGGAGCCCAGCCACTACATTTTGAGCAACAATGAACCATGCTGAAAAGAGCCTGAAGATGCCTTTTTAATTCCGTTTCCAGCTGGAGCAGACGTCAGGCGCACTTTATGTTCTAAGTCAAAATCGAATCTATTCAATGACATTTATGTTCTGAATGTTACATGTCGAAGTCAAAGTTAGCACTAAACGTCATGACATTTCTTCAGGTTACATGTCCAATTCGAAGCTACTACTAAACGTCAGGTCACTTTGTTTTCTAGGTTACATGTCAAATTCGAAGCTACTACTAAACGTCAGGTCAATTTTTTTGTTCTGGGTTACATGTCAAAGTCAAAGCTACACTAACCGCTATGACAATTTGTGTTCTTGGTTACAAGTCAGTGTCGAAACTACCGCTAAACTTCATCTTCTTGTCGTGTCTTGTCCCGTCTTTCAGCATCAGCGTTGAAGAGCCATCGGGTAATAGCCCGGGTATTTGCGACACAGACTCTGGTATTCAAGGCCCCGGATGTTCAGTAAATCTATTGCTTGCGTGGTGGAACTCTAGTTCTGCTTCCTTTGTGTATAACCGACAGGGTTCTCTGCGGTTGCATTAGCTGGTGGTAGTCTTGACCCATGTCTGAACCATTTAATATGTTATCTCTTGATGTAGTTTAGTACACTAAACGTCATAACAGTTTGTTCTCTGTTACATGTCAAAGTCGAAGCTACGCTAAAGGTCACGAGGATTTGTTCTTTGCTACGTGTCAGAGTCAAAGCTACGCTAAAGGTCATGCTAATTTGTTCTCAGTTACATGTCAAAGTTGAAGCTACGCTTAACATCATTACTGTTCTCTGTTACATGTAAAAGAAAACGATCGCTAAAAGTCATGACATCTTGTTCTCTGTTACATGTCAAAGTCGAAACTACGCTAAACGTTGTGACAATTGTTTGTTCTCTTTATTGCATGTAAATTTGAAGCTTACTCCTAGAAGTCTTGGACACCTTATGTTTCTCTGTGTTATGTGCTCAAATCAAAGCTACCGATGGACGTCACGACCAACGAAATCAAACTTACCATGACATAATTGTTGGCCACCTTGTAAAGATCCGTACACCCCTGAGCATCAGCGAACTGGCGGATGCCAATACAATTAGAAGGATGGAGCTGCTTCATAAGAAAACTACAACAGGCTTCAACAACCTCGGATATCTGGAGAAGGCAAGCAGTAGACAGCAGGTTCTCTACTGTTTCTTCCTTCAGCTGGATGTGTCCTGCACAGAGAGTCACGTCAGTCATTGTTTAAAAAAATATATATATACAATATTTAAATCATCATATTAATTTTAATTAACATAATCAACATCATCTTCAACAACACCCCGATTACTAGAATTACCTTTATCATTATCATCGCAATCGACGTCATCATTAATTGCCCTTGTTGTCATCGTTATAATCATTAATAGCGTCATTAAAATCCCTTTAAAATAACATTCTCAACATTATTAGCATCACATTTATAACTATCCCACCATTGTAACCAACATGATCACAAATATTATCGCAATCATTATCCCACCATTGTCATTGATATCATCCCAAACAACATCGCGGTCATTATCATCACCAACACTATCATCACAACCACCACCACCATTATTACCACTTCCACAATCGCCATCATCATCATCATCTGGTGTTCTCAAAATCACGAATCTCAACAGCTTCCACTTCCTGTCTCTGTGTATCAGTATGTTTCAGGACCGTCCAGGTTTTGAACCCAAGTGCTCTCCTCAGTGGCGAGCAAGCATGTAACTGCTCTAATCGCCCCATGTATTTTTCGTTACCAAAGATAAATGCATTATTTCATTATTTGTTACTACTGTTTAACCGTAAAAATATGGGACGCTCCATATGCCCGATGCGCCGAAAGGCGTGAAAAGGGAACTTCACTTACTTACTGTTTAACCGGGCGGTTTCCGGGGTTTACCCAGCCTCTAGGTAATTGGTACCAGATTTAATACACTTGGGTAAATTGAGGAACGAGGCTGTAGCTTCGGAGTTGCGTGCGGACGGCCACACAGATAGATAGTTTCTTACTGGCTGTCCGTACTGGTGGCAGAGCACTTATGGTTTATATCCGTGTGCAATGAGGCTGGTTCACATCTCCAGACTTAACCTTAACTTTGCTTCATTACTGTTTAATATCTGTTACAAATACGCCACTTGGCTAACTTCAATCACATAGAGAAGAGAACGCTCGTTGTAAGCAAACGCCAAAATATACAGACTTTGTAACATGTGAACGCTACCAATTACTAGTACTACCGGTTACTACGATACTAACTGCCCAAGAATACTCTCAAAAGCGAAGCCACAAGGAGAAAAAATATCAAGTGATATCCTCTCAGGGTACTCATTAACGCTCACACATGCGAAATGGTCACGCCTTGCCACCGACCTTTTTCCTGTTTTCACACAATGTTGACTGTCTCCTTCTTATGTGGCAAACTTCTTGGTCTGAAAGTCATAGGTTCGTTTTGTAGACTGCGTAATTTGGTTTGTACATTTAACGGACATCTCCAAAGATTGTCACTGGAACAACAGAGTTTGTGCTTTGTGCTACATTTTCGACAGGCGGCTATTCCCTTCCGTCTAGAGAGGAACATCTATAAGGGATGCAACTGACTGCAATGAGGTTGAACCTCTTGAGGTTAAACTTTGAATAGAACAAGTGGGATGTAAGTGGGCAAGGGGAAAGCAACCCATTCTCATAACACAGGAAACTTAGTTGTGCGTGCGTCACTCCAATGCTCACACAATTCTCGTCAAATAACTTATTAATTAAAAAAATAATTTTCTCTTTGAGCCTAGTGATCAGCTCTGTGGCTAAGTCGATGCGAACGCTTCGTAATGCCGGGGTGCCGGGTTCGATCCCAGCTACGAGCCATGCGCCTTGAGTTGGTTTCGACAGTGGTAACAGGGGGCCGACCGTCCAAAAAGAAATAGCCAACTACTAGACGTAAATTTGCCTAGAGAAACCACACAACAGCCAGGGGCTGCTAGGGTTGGTTCTGCAACGTCCTGTAAAGGATACGCAACTAACCTTGAGCCTAGTGGCACATGAGGCTTAAGAGAGAACTTTCCATGCCTTCCTGTCCTGTAGTTGCGTGATAAATTCACTGGGTTGGTCAGAGGCGTAGTCGCCTACGTCAGTCGTAAAGCACAGGATGATGATGATAACAGAGACGTGTGTAAAAGGGGTCCAGTTTGCTTGAGATGAGAGACGAGTGTTAGGTTCTCGAGGTGCACGAAGTTTTAGAAACAATCTTTCTGGAGAATCACTACTAACAGTGGTTTGCACGCGCTTAAGGAGAACCATGCGGGGTCCGTAGCGCTGAGCAAAGGGTTGGTCACGGGTGTTCAGTTCAGTGCCTCTCAGCAACTCCGATCGTGCGAACACATGTTCAGTTGTCTGTGCATTTGTAGCAGTAGTCATGTGTATCATGTTAGTTCAGTGGGGGTGCTTAGAAAAAGTTAATTGGACGTCGCTTAGTGCAGCAAAACCTGGAATATGACATCACAACATCTAATTTGAGAATGGAGGTGGAGGCTGACACTGCGGTCTTTAGATGGCTTGAAAATCAGCTGTAAACACATGCCGTAATTGTAACGGACTCACAGAGCATGTTGAGAAAAATGAGACCGGTATACTCCGTGAGACCGGTATACTCCGTGAGACAGGTATACTCCGTGAGACCGGTATACCTCGTGAGACCGGTATACTCCGTGAGACCGGTATACTCCGTGAGACAGGTATACTCCGTGAGACCGGTATACTCCGTGAGACCGGTATACTCCGTAAAGACAGGCAAGCATCGCTTCAAAGTTCGTTTGGATGTTTTCCCCAGGATTAAAAAATAAAGACAGACTTACAGATTGGCTGGTTCTGTACAACTTGGTGGTAAACTGATGAATGACAAGCTAGATGCCCTCCTTGTGGGGGGCAGGGTGAGGGAACAGTGTGGCAGCATAAATGGATCATAAGGTATGAAAAGAAAAGTACTGCGAAGAGTGACCAAGGGATCTGGTCGACGGTCAGCACTCAAGGGAAAGGTGAGACGGAGATACGATTAGACTGCTATTGGTACCACTGGAACTGGAACTCTGCGCTTGCTGCTGAAGATGGGGACGGAGCTCTCATGGGAATGTCCCGAGTGCTATGATGTCGATTCTTAAATTAAACGTTTAGAAAATATGAGAGCAATCCAACAAGCATTACTTTACATTGGAACCTACGGGCCACAGAAAAAAAGGCGAACACAAACACACGGAGATGAGAGTAAGGTTAAAGAGATTGGGAGGAGTTTGAGTTAGCTTTCGCATTTCCACCCTCTCTCTCTCTCTCTCTCTCTCTCTCTCTCTCTCTCTCTCTCTCTCTCTCTCTCTCTCTCTCTCTCTCTCTCTCTCTCTCTCTCTCTCTCTCTCTCTCTCTCTCTCTCTCTGTCTCTCTCTCTCTCTCTCTCTCTCTGTCTCTCTCTCTCTCTCTCTCTCTCTCTCTCACACACACACACACACACACACACACCACACACACACACACACACACACACACACACACACACACACCGCTTTTCTTCTAGCTCCTTTTTTGTCTCCGTTCAGCCAAATTTTACTTTCTCTTTCTCACTGTCTTTAGTTTTCTCTCTATCTCCCCACCCTTTTTCGACTCCCCCATTGGTGGAATAATAAAAGGCCTTGTCGTGCAGGTGCCACAGTGGTGTAGCAGCTAGATGCTCGCCTGCTGATCCGAAGGTCGTGGGTTTGGGTCCTGACGGAGCGGAACTTTTAACAAAAATGACTTTGGCTCCCAGATCGACCCAGCCTTAAATGGGTTCCAGGTGCAGTCTTGGGAATTAAAGGCGGCCTGACCACATCAACCCCCAAGTGCCGATCGGTTTTTAAAATATAGGTCTAGGCCTATATGCCTAAAACACCTCTAGACGTAGAAAAACGTCCTTTACTTTGTTTAATTTTACTAGGCATGCAAATAGCCAAACATCTGAGAGCCAAAAGTATCATGCCGGGACATTTAATGTGGAAATATTCGTATGAGCTCCAAAATCTAGAGTTAACGTGTTACGTGTTTACTTTCTACTGCACGAAAGAGGTAGAAGAGAGAAAGAGAGAGAGAGAGAGAGAGAGAGAGAGAGAGAGAAAGAGAGAGAGAGAAAGCGATATTGATTATTTAAAAGTAAACACATGCCTAGATTCACAAAAACGGCTATTCCCGAAGCTGCTGAACTCCCAGGAGCGAAAAACCCGCATAGTGCGTCGCAAATCAGGGATTCAGCCCGCCGTACTCTTGAGAGAGCCGTGTGAGGCAGGCCACATGCAATGCAGGATTGTAACGTGATGTTACTCTATAATATCTAGAACTTTTACATCTACGTGCGTGTTTAGGGTGGCAAGGAAAAGTGTGTTGCAGAGTTATGTAAATAATTTAATACTGTTGTGAAAAGAGGCTAAATAAAATGGGATGACGTTCAGAGACGTGAAGAAATAGATGAACTGTCAGCGCAACCACTGGTAACATCAGTCATACATTAGTATCCCCGAATTCGAACGCTTCAGTTCTAAAAACCAAATTCCGAACGAAATTTTTAAGTAGATTTTGCCAAGAACTTGAAAGCTGACTTGGAAACCGAACAACGAAGGAAGAAATTGCAGAAGAGGGTCCACAGCAGCCAATCTATCAGCCTGCTCATTACCCCGAACACCAGAATTTCCTGGATAGAATAAACACGATGAGAACGAAATACAGAAGAATACAACGAAAGGAGTTGAATTAGGAACTGGAACCGAATAAGAAAATGTTGGCAGCCGGAGGAGTCACTGAAGGTTCTGAACAGCTTGTGATGCAAGTTCAACCTGTACAGCAGCAGGGAGTTATAGTGGTTTAACGCTCGCCTGTCAGCATCAAAGGCTTTGGTTCAGATACGTATCGAGGCGGATGTGTTTTTTTTTTTTTTTATTAACGGATCCAGCAGGAACGGGTTTTAGGTAAAGTCCCAGCCAGAAACGGGGTTTAGGTAATGTCCCCGGAAGTAAAGGCTGCCGGCGTGATGTTGAGCACATCAACGATCGAGTGTTGATTGATCTAGAAAATACGAGTCCAGCATCGCATACCTTAAGTGACATTAACGTAATAAGGTCCTTTACTTTTGTACTTTACATGCAGTACCCAGCGACTCACTGTGCGCTTATTGGT